CCCCCAACAAGCAGTCCCCTGCCCCCCCCCATCAAATAGTGGCCCGCCTGCCAGCTAGGGGCCATTGCCCCGGGTCCTCCGCCCCGTGTAAAGACCGTCTCCCCACGTCTCCTGCCGAATAGAGTCCCAGTCCCACCAGTTCCCCCTGCTACATCGGGGCTGGCCCCCATACAGAGTCCCACCCCCACATCCGCTGCCAAATCATGTCCTAGCCCCATACTTCCTCCAGTCCCGCTCCCACGACCCCTGCCAAATAGTGTCCCCCCATGTGCCGCTGCTAAATAGTGCCCTCCCCATATATTGCTTGCCAAATAGTGTCCCCCCGTGTGTCCCCCGCCTGGGACAAGGCAAGGATATGGGAGGCTGGCAGGGGGGGCCGTCCAGGCCGCTGTGGGGCAGCAGGGGGGCCACCGGGGGCTTCCTCACCACCAGTGCCAGGGCCTCAGCCTGGTCCCCCGGGGGCCGGCAGCGGGGTGGGGGCACAACCCCCCTCAGCACTGCGTCCACCACGGCCCCCAGCTCCTCCTTGAGCAGCTGGGCCAGCCCCGGGGGGACCCCCCTCTCCAGCCTGGGGGGGATCCCCGACGCCAGCCCCGCCCAGGCCAGGCCCCAGGAGATCTGGGCCAGGTTCTCCCGCAGCTGCCCCACTTGCTCGGCCATGGCTTCCAGCTCCTGCTGCAGCCGGGCCCGCGCCTTGGCCCCCTCTGGGTCCAGCGCCCGGGGCTGCTTGGCTGAGGGGGGGCTGTGGCCCATGCAGGGCTCTCCTGTACGGGAGGCCACCCAAGGCCGCGGCAGGTCTCGGCGGGTGTGGGGCACCTCCAGCTTCAAGTGAGGGAGGGACATGGAGAGCTGCAAGAGAGGGTGGGGGTAGTTGCCTGCCTGGCATTCCCTGGTCTCCCATCCACCCTCTGACCCTCCTGCACCCTGCTTAGCTTGTAAAAAGGCAGCAGTGCCTCCAAAAAATGGCAGCAGGGTCCTGGGTAAAGGTCTGCTACCAGGGATCAACCCTAAAGGATCCTGCTTGGCTCGGAGGAAGCACCCAGCACTGCTGCATGGATACCACTCCCTCCCCCTGCCGAGCCAAGGGCAACGGGGGGCTCTCATCCAGGCTCCACGCTTAGCACAGCCTGCTTAGCCCCTCCAACCCCATCACTGGGGTGCCCCTGGTCTCCCATTCACACCTTGACCCTAAGGGACCCTGCTTAGCTCCCAAAAGATGCCAACACCCCCCCAAGAGCAGCACTACCCCCAGCTCGGGGCCTGTTTAAGGTGGTCTCCCATGAGTGCCTCTCGCACAGCGCCCCCGTGCCCATCCGCACCCCAACCTTCAGGGACCCTGCTCAGCTGCCCGGCGGGGCAGGCCTGCCCACACCAAGCACTCTCTGCTGGCTGCGCCCCTGCAGTTGG